CGATTGGAGGCGAAATCTGCACTTCATACGACGAGCCCGGCATGCCTACGTTCGTCACCGTTCTTTTTACGGTCACCGTGTAATTGTTACTACTGCTTAGGGATATCATGAACGAAGGATAATTCAGCTCTGGAACAGACGCGGTCTGTGTCACTTGATGGCGCGACGAGCGATAGCGGTCGTCTGCCTGTAGCTGTACCCTAAACCGCAGAGGTGAGCGATGTAGTCGTCGGGCGAAATGTCATAGATGAGGCCGGGGTTACATGCCCCGCTCCGGTCGTAAAGAGGCTAGTGGGATCATGGCGCGACGAGCGATAGCGGTCGTCTGCCTGTAGCTGTACCCTAAACCGCAGAGGTGAGCGATGTAGTCGTCGGGCGAAATGTCATAGATGAGGCCGGGGTTACATGCCCCGCTCCGGTCGTAAAGAGGCTAGTGGGATCTTTTTAGCAACTGCTATACGTACCTCTTAGGTGCGGGGCCGGCATTGATGTCCCTTACGGTACGTTGAATTTTGTTGAGCTCTCGGACCATGCAGCTAAAATGTTCACCCGCTTTAGGATATTCTTGGTCGAGCCGAGATGGCCCTCCTCGCCACGAGATGCAAGCAACCCACTGTTAGGTTGGGTGTCGCCGTGGATACAACACTCGCGGCGGAGGAGCTCCGACGAGCCTCCAGGGCCTCGAACAGGCGATCGGGCGGTTCCGGCGATGGTGCCAACGGCGGCAGAGGTGCCAGGCGACAGGACTGAGCTCGAAGCCTCGCAGCTCTCGCCGTTCGTTCGAAGCTGGCCCCGTCCCAGAATTCGGCGAGAGCTCTGCGTATCGTTCGAAGCAGCGCGCAGGCGTCGATCGTGGCCGTCCAGAGAGCTCTGCCGTCGGATGGCCGAAGCTCTGCGTTCCGCCTGCCCCCGCGACCTCTGCTGTTTGGTTTTGGGCAACCCGACCTTTGCCGTCAGGGCTTAATCGTGGCCCGACAGGCTTCGCCAGCCTCTCTCATCTCCATTTACGCCTATATAATAACCCCTCTCCCTAGGGTTTCGAATGGCTGCTGAACTTCCCCCCTCCTCTTCGGATCTCTCTCTGTGGCGGCGGCGGCGATCTGCCACCCTAAACGCAGCAGCGTTTTTCCCTAAAATCGCTAGAGCGCATATTCCTTTTTTAATCCCCCGCTTCAACGTCCCTGTTTTGAGGTCGAAGCATTAAGTAAAGAATTATTAGAGAGAGCCAAGAGAATTAGAAGAGGGATTTTATATTGTGGGGGTGGGCGGGGCTGCGTGCGGGACGGGGCGAGCGCGTGGCGGAAATTCATTTCTCAAGTGATGCGTAGTGTGGGAAAGGCGTTTACCATTACTCGCAATGGTTATTATTAACACTGTAGCTACAGTGTTTATCTGAGAGAATCCCAGTTAGGATCTGCTCCTAAAAGTTCGTTGAATTATCTGTTTGATTAATAGAAATTTATCTGTGTGGCTCCGGAGGACGTAGGCAGCTTGCCGAACCTCGCTGTCAATTGCTTGTGTACTTGTTCTAATCTACCGCGGTTTCCGTCGCATGACACATTAGGGGTTTAGGCGTTTAAATTCCCAACAACTGGTATCAGAGCGTGAAACGATCTAGAGGAAGTCAGATTCAAGTGGGAGCCATGGCCGCAGATGAGGGAAAGGTGAGAATAGAGAAGTTTGATGGATCAGATTTCGGATTCTGGAAAATGCAGATAGAGGATTATCTGTATCAGAAAAATCTGTATCAACCTCTCTCGGGGAAGAAGCCGGAGGGTATGAAGGAAGAAGATTGGAATCTTCTGGACAGAAAAGCCCTCGGGGTTATTCGTTTGACGTTAACCCGCAATGTTGCTTTTAACATTGCAAAGGAGAAGACCACGGCAGATCTTATAGCAGCACTCTCAAATATGTATGAGAAGCCATCAGCCTCAAATAAAGTCCATTTGATGAGGCGGTTGTTCAATCTGCGAATGGCGGAAGGTGCATCGGTAGCACATCATCTCAATGAACTCAATACAGTCACGACCCAATTGAGTTCAGTTGACATTGAGTTTGATGAGGAAGTTCAGGCGTTGATACTTTTGTCTTCCCTGCCAGAGAGTTGGAACGCTACAGTCACGGCAGTGAGTAGCTCATCGGGAAAGAGAAAGTTGAAGTTTGACGACGTTCGTGATCTGGTTCTCAGTGAGGAGATCCGACGGAGAGAGTCGGGTGAAGCTACAACCTCTTCAGTATTGCATACAGAGTCAAGAGGTAAAAGTTCAACCAGAGGAAATGGATCAGATGATAGGAGATCCAAATCCAGAAATCCCAACAGTTCGAAGGCTATCGAGTGTTGGAAGTGCGGGAAAACCGGGCACTACAAGAATCAGTGCAGGAGTGCACGGGAGGAGTGGGAGGCAAATGCAGATGTGAACGTTGCCTCCACCTCAGGAGGAGATGATGCGCTGATATGCTCTTTGGAGAGCAAGGAGGAGTCTTGGGTGTTGGACTCGGGAGCATCATTCCATGCTACTTCTCAGAAAGAATTCCTCGAGAAGTATATCCCCGGAAACCTTGGAAATGTATATCTTGGTGACGATCAAGCATGTGCCATTATTGGCAAAGGTGTAGTGAAGATTAAGCTGAATGGGTCAGTATGGGAGCTGAAGGATGTCAGGTATATTCCCGACCTGAAGAGGAACTTAATCTCAGTAAGCCAGCTGGCTAGTGAAGGCTACACGATGACTTTCCATGGCGATGACTGGAGGATTTCGAAGGGCGCAATGACGATTGCCAGAGGTAGGAAGACTGGTACCCTGTATATGACAGCAGGTGCACGTTGTTCGATCTCAGTTGCGGCAGGCAATGAGACTTCAAAGCTGTGGCACCAGAGACTCGGTCATATGAGTGAAAAGGGGATGAAGGTTATGCACACAAAGAGAAAACTCCCAGGTTTACAATCAGTAGAGATTGATGTGTGTGAAGAATGCATACTTGGAAAGCAGAAGAGAGTTAGCTTTCAGGCAAGTAGCAGACCCCCCAGGAAGCAGAAGCTAGAGCTTGTTCACTCGGATGTTTGGGGACCAACAACCACCGCGTCGATTGGTGGGAAACACTACTTCGTGACTTTTATTGATGATCACTCTCGGAAAGTATGGGTCTACTTTCTGAAGAAAAAGTCAGAAGTGTTTGAGGCTTTCAGAAGATGGAAAGCCATGGTCGAGAATGAGACCGGTTTGAGGGTAAAGAAACTCAGAACAGACAATGGTGGTGAGTATGAAGACACCAGATTCAAGAAGTTCTGCTATGAGCACGGTATCAGAATGGAGAGGACCGTGCCCGGCACGCCTCAGCACAATGGTGTGGCTGAGCGCATGAATAGAACGTTGACAGAGAGAGCCAGAAGCATTCGGATGCAGTCAGGTCTACCGAAGCAGTTCTGGGCAGAAGCAGTCAACACAGCAGCTTACTTGATCAACCGAGGTCCATCGGTTCCATTGGAGCACAGAATACCAGAAGAGGTATGGTGCGGAAAGGAGGTAACCCTCTCACATCTCAAAGTTTTCGGTTGTGTAGCTTATGTGCATATAAGTGATCAAGGCAGGAATGAGCCTGATCCCAAGTCTAAGAAATGCACGTTCATCGGGTATGGTGAAGACGAGTTCGGCTACCGCATTTGGGACAACGAAAACAAGAAGGTGATCAGGTGCAGAGATGTGACATTCAACGAGAAGGTGATGTACAAGGACTTGCACAAGACAGATGACGGTGACTCAGAGAGCGAGTCAACATTTGTAGATGCAGATGATGTTCCGGATAACCTCTCGGAAGAACCCAATGCAGAAGATCCTCAGCCAGAAGAGACTGTTGGACAGAATGGTGCGCAGAAGCCCGACGCACCAGCTCCGATGTTAAGGAGAAGTACTCGTCCTCCTGTGCCTAACAGCAGATACATGAATTATATGTTGCTGACAAATGGAGGAGAGTCTGAAAGCTTTGATGAAGCTTGTCAGAGTGGAGATGCGAGCAAGTGGGAGTTTGCTGCGAAAGAAGAGAAGAAATCTCTGATCTCCAACCAGACATGGGGACTAGCTGAGTTTCTCATGGGGAAGAAGGCACGTCACAACAAGTGGGTGTATCGAGTGAAGAAGGAACAGGGTGGTTCCAGAAGATACAGAGCCCGACGAGTTGTCAAAGGATTTCAACAGAATATCCAAGGAAGAAAGGATCCAGCGGATATGTTGACAAAGGCAGCGACCTTTCAGAAACTGAAGTTGTGTGCAACTTCAGTTGGCCTTCATGCATAGATGATGAAGGCGGAGTCACACAGGAGAGGAGCTTGATGAGATAGCCTGATTGTCGTCGGTTTGGTCTCCAAGTGGGAGATTGTTAGGTTGAAGATGGATACCAACCTCCAACGGCGGAGGAGCTCCGACGAGCTCCAGGAAGACGCAGACGAGCGTGGCGAAGTCGGCGGCGACCCCCCCAGGCGTGGCGGCGGCGAGGTCCAGGCGGCGAGGTCCAGGCGACAGGACGAGCTCGAAGCCTCGAGCTCTGCGTTCGTTCGAAGCTGGCGTCGATGGCGAGCTCTGCGTTCGTTCGAAGCGGGCGTCGATGGCGAGCTCTGCGTCGATGGCGAGCTCTGCGTCGATGGCGAGCTCTGCGTTCGCCTGCCCCCCCGACCTCTGCGTTTGTTTTTTGGGCGAACCCGACCTTTGCGTCAGGGTTAATCGCTGGCGACAGGCTGTCGCCAGCTCTCTCATCTCCGCCTATATAAACCCTCTCCCTAGGGTTTCGAAGGTGCTTGCTTCTCCCCCTCTCCTCCGATTTCTTCTCTTGGGATCTGCCCTAAAACGCAGCAGCGTTTTTCCCTAAAATCGCAGCAGCGATTTTCCTTTTTAATCCCCAGCTTCAACGTTGTTTTGAGGGGAGATTAAGTAAAGAGATTTAGAGAGAGAGAGAGAATTAAGAAGAGGGGATTTTATATTGTGGGGTATTTATTCTCAAGTGGGTATTGAAAGGGTTCATACCCTGTTATTATTAACACTGTAGCTACAGTGTTTATTTGAGAAATCCCAGTTTAGGGATCTGCTCCTAAAATTGTAATTTCTTGTTTGATTAATAAGAAATTATCTGTGTGGCTCCCGAGGACGTAGGCAGTTGCCGAACCTCGTTAAATCTTGGTGTACTTGTTCTCTATACCGCGTTTCCGTTGCATTAGGGGATTTAGGCGTTAAATTCCCAACACCACCGGAGCTGGATATATATATTCCAAGTACTGTTCCCTCGAAGGTGAATGTCGTTTTCGGTTGCTCGTTAGAATAAATGTATGATCTGATGTTCATTCCGTCGGTGTAGCTAACATGAGAAGCTGGGAGTACATGAGACAGAGCAGGAACAGTTACCCCTTCTCCTTGATGGTTGGCAATAATCATGGCGGTGCCTCTAGCATTCTTGACGACTTCTCCTTTCTCCACCCAGTCATTATTTCCGTCATCCCACAAGACAACTTTTCCCTTAACGTCAACACAACTCAGCGAGCCATTTACACAGTACGAACCATCAGTAAGGGGAAGTAAGTTGGATTTGAATCCCCTAGGTTGATAAGTGGACTCCCCATTGAACCAGGCTTTACTTCCTAACTCCACTGTAGTTCTAATCTCTCGATCTATAGTACTCGCTCCTACTGTCAGAATCCATGGGGCATCATTTGTGACGGTGCCATAAGCAGGACCGTAGTTTCCAGCTGAACAACTTACGAAAATGCCCTTCTCGATCGCTGCAAATGAGGCGGTTGCAATCACGTCACTATCTAAAGGTTGAGCATCACTTCCAGGGGAGAGTGACATAACATCTACTCCATCTTCGATGGCAGCATCCATTCCAGCTAATATATCAGAGTTTGCACATTCTTCTTCATTGCACACCTTGTATATAGCTATATGGGCAAAGGGTGCTGTTCCTGAGGCTGTTCCGTTAGCTTGGTTGTCGATGTTGGCATTTTGCACGAACATGCCTGCAGCTGTGCTGGCTG